CACCGCTTAAGACAATCACGCCGACAAATCATTCCATTCGGACCCCCCTTCTCCTAATGGCTACTGGAATAAACTACACCAGAAAAACAGAACAAGCTAATCCATGCGATTTCCATTCTCCATGCCTTTATTCGCCCCTTAATTTCAATCTTACGAATTCATTACTTGCTCCTCAAAACACTATGCACCTTGAGGCTCTTTCCTTCTTCTTCCCTTTGATCTACACTTATTGTAACCCCAAAAATGAAACTTCCAAACCCATTGTGCGAACCTATAGAAAATACAAACCAGAGAAATATCTCACGATTCTAGAATTAACTCCTAATAGAAATCATTATGTCTGGCTCTCTTCTAATATCACCGATGGATTGATAGTACTCTGGCCATTTCTATTTACACCAGCAGCTGAATCTTAGCACTGCTGATTCAAACAATTTCTCATCGCTCCAACTGCTTTGATTAAATTGAGCGTCGTTCCTGCAGCACCATACAGACCAGAAAAATGCAAAGAAGGCTAGACTCCACATAGGTTTACACTGTTTAGATACAGGGTTACCAGACCACGCTAATAGGAAAGATCGGACATCGCCTGGACAATTAACGTTCAGCTTCCAAAGTGAGAACCACCTTTGCCAACACCTCCAAGCCATATCACATTGGCAAAATAAGTGACCAACAGTTTCATTCTCCTTGTGGCATAGCACACATAAATATGACTCCAAATTTGGGACGCCTCGTTTTTCTAGTTCAGTTAGAACAGGTAATCTATCAAGAACGGCTCTCCAAATTAGAAACTCAACTTTTGGAGGGGCAAGATTCGACCACACCAATTTCCAGAAGCTGTCTCCTTCTTCCTCAACAGTCACTGTATTAGAGCAGAAACTGCGGGGGTGATATTCCCCATCCAAGGAACCCAACCACCTCAACCTGCCCTTATTCAAGTTGCCATTGGTTGCTTCATTGAGGGTATTAATGAAATCTTCCCAAATATTGATTTCCCATGTAAACGGAGTCCTACGAATCTCAATATTCCACTCCCATTTACTGTCAATTTTCGATCCAAACTCGGTAAGCTTACCCTTTTTTTTCACCGCTAAACTGAACATTCTGGGGAATGCATCCTTTGACGAGGGGAATCGGGTCCAATACCCAATCCAGAATTCAATCGCTTTTCCATCACCTAAGGTTCTTAGCTCCTTTCTAAACATATCATCAGCCTTCCCCAGTGGACTCAGTATGTTTCTCCACACCCAAGACGAGTTATTATAAGTGGTTTGAGATGGAATCAGGGATTCGGCATCATAATCGTGTTTGGCAACGATAACTCTTCGCCACATTCTGTCTGGTTCTTGACCAAATCTCCATACCCATTTGTTTAAGAGGGATCGGTTTTTCACCAGAAGATCAACGATGCGTCGATGCCTAACCCACCCTGGATTCTTGGTTTGCACAACTTCTCCCAGCTCACCCTGTGAATTGGTCTGGCACTATTAGGTCCCCAAATGAATTTGGCTATGACACTGCTCAACTTCGATGCAACCGCCTCCGGCATCTTAAACAAAGAGAGATAATGTACGGGCAAATTAACAAGGACAGCTTTCACTAAGGTTATTCTTCCACCAAAGGATAGCAACTTTCCTTTCCAATTATCAAGCCGCTTCAAAAATTTATCAATTACTGGCTTCCAAAGCTCAATCGAGTTTCTCACTTTACCGAGCTGGAGGCCAAGATAGGTGGTCGGAAGAATCTCCCAGCCGCACAACCAGTTCCGCCCAAGTTGAAACCGATCGACTACCATATTTATCCCATACAATTTGGTTTTACTGAGCTTCAATCGGAGTCCAGAACAACCTCGAAAACTCTGAGAACTCTCTACAATTAATATGCAGTCCAAATTGCTATTGACGAATAAAATTAGATCATCTGCAAACTGAATATGTCATCATAGTTATCACTTTCACTCCCTTGACTAATTCTTTTTCAGCCGCTTTGTCAATGAGACCGCTAAGAGCTTCGCCAACTATGTTAAACAATAATGGCGACAGCGGACAAAATTACAATAAAAATCTGCAAACTGAATATATTATCATAGCTATCACTTTCTTTTTTTTTTATAGAAAGTGATTAGTTTTTTTTAAATAGAAAACATTTATAATTACAATAAAGATTTACAAACATAATTATAAATATAAATCAAATTATATCTAATACATTTTACTATAATCATTTACACAAAAATTAACCACCTATATCACACAAAGATCAAAATTAAAAAATATTAAAAAAACTAATCAAAATGCTCAAACAAAATAAAGATACGAACAAATCTGACTGCATCGATAAATAAACCACAAAGAGAATGAAACAACTGAAAGACCACCGACAAATCGCAAATCAGAGTCAAAGCAACGTGAAAAATGCAAAACACATATCCAAATCAATTCGAGAGTCCAAAGCAGGAAATATCAGCATGATAACAAATAAGCGTTATCTTGATCAGTCTGGTGATGTCAAATCCAATCCAAAAAAAAATATAAAAGAAAATAACGAAAAAAACAGTGATAAACGTATCACAAAGATATGATTATTCTTATCAAAAACTAAAAAAAGTAAAGAAAAAATACAATCGACGATCGACAACAACATCAAAATCGATGCCCAGCTAGCTAAATAAAACAAAGAAAAAAATTGATTTTATCTATAAAAAATGGCATAAATTATAAGGAAAAAAGAAAAGGAAAAGGGAGAGAACGGCTAGGGTTTAGAGAGCACTATAATTCAAACATAGTTAATCCATATATTGACTCACTATATGCATAAAAACATTAAAATAGAAATAGAAATAAATAAAGAAGCTTAGCTTAGACAGAATTGTCATATTATGGATTTAATACAATAAAAGTTGGGTGAAAGTACTAAACTAAACAAAAGAAACAAATGGTTTATATAATTAACCTCTCTGATTTCGGATTAATTACTTCTTTGATCCCCCTTATTTAGTCTTAATTTAAAACTCCCTTTTAAGTCTATTCCGGCTCAATTAAAACTTACATCAAGCCCAACCATAGCCCAAAGATTTATAATGTCTTAACTACTAGTCTAAGACTCACTCGGATTAACGTTGACGCAAAATTCGAGACATTACAAAATTTTATAAAATAAATAAAAATAAAAAGGTTATTATTTATTTGATATTTGTGTTGTTTATTCATATGATCCCCATAATTATTTGATAGAATACTCAATTTTACTAATAGTTAAAATTAATAAATTACTTTTTATGATTACAATTTATAATTCACTTGTGTTTTATAATATAATAAATAAAATACGAATTTTGAAACCTAAATGGTATTTATGTTTCTTTCTTCTTCGATCAGGTTATCCAAATATTTTACTGAATTTTATCGCTTAATTGTTTTTAATATAATGTAAAGTATACAAAGCCGTAGAGATGTATTTGGTTCGATTCGGTTCGATTTTTATTAGAATATAGATCGAACCGCATTTTAAGGGTTTTGAAAAATGAAAACGAAATCAAAATCGAATGACATAAAATTAACGTTTCTGATTCGGTTCGGCGGTTTTTTACTCTTCACTATTTTTCAAATTCAACCTAAAAAAAATAAATTTAAAGCTTAAATCGAGTGTAAATATATAAATTTAAATTTATAAAAATATTATTGATTTTAATATTTAATTTATTTAATTTTTTATTATAATAAATTCAATATGAAGGTGTTTTGGGTACTTTTTTTTTTAATTTGGTTTAATTCGATTCAAATGGTTTTCACTTGGAAAAACCGATTATCAAACCAAATTGTATATTTATGTTTTTAAATAGAGCCGAAACCAAACTTCAAATTAAAAAATAGAACTAAACAGTTTGGTTCGGATCGATTTTTTAGTTTTCTCGATTTCATTGTTTAACCCTACATAGTCGGCTATAAGGGAGCACCCTATTTTTTTAAGGCCCATATTTTTTTAGTTTTATAAAATTGTCTTTATTTTCTAATTTAATTATTAAAGACCCTTATTGTTTTTCAATTTTGTAAAAGTGTTCCCACTTTCTATCTTAATTATTAAGGGTCTGTAGTTTTTTTACTATTATAAAATAAACCCCACTTTCTACTTTTATAATTATTAAGGGTCCCTAATCTTTTAAGTTTATAAAATGACCCCACTTTCTACCTTTATAATTGAGAGCTCATATTTTTTGCAATTATATAAAATTATCAATTTTACATCCCTTTCTCTATGTCTCTCATTAATTCATTCAATTTTAAATTAAGTCTAAATATATTTTTTTTCCAAATCTCATTGTTCAATTTATCAAATATCCTTTAACTCTTAGTTTTCTTCGATCTTAATCTAACGGTAAACAATATTTTATTTTTTTATTTATTGTTCAAAATCAAACTCCATATTATACTCCCATTTAATTTTTTTATTCTCTCTTAATTGTATTTAAGGTGTTTCCTTGAACAAACAATAAAAATAATGTGTTTGAAAAAAATAATTATTTTTTATAATTTATTAATATAAGATTAAATTAATTATTCAAAGTAATAAAATATACGTTTATCTTTTAGGGCGTATTTTTAAATTTTGGTCGGTGGCCGAAAATTGGCTCTGAAAGTAGAACAACTTTGCTTAAGCTTGTATTATTGAGTAGTTTAAACAACCCTAACTGCGTATAGAGTTGGAATTCAAAGGCTGTCCTTAGATCTATCCTAAGCAACACGCATACAGTTGAGCTTCTACGAGACGACCTATATTTGCTCAAATTCAAAACCCTTGGATTCATTTAACTGAAAAAATAGTTCCTTGGCAACTTGTTATCTTCTATTCTCGCCATTTCACTCCCAACATACAAAACGACCTAACGTAAAAGAAAACAGTTGATGCATTGATCTAAATTCATTGTTGATGAGGCTTTAATCTCCATATTATCACCTTTACCTATCATCGTCGTTTACGTTGTTGAGATTTGAGGTAAGATGATGATGTACTGGAAACTGCTTGCTGCAATTTTTCCTCTTCTGTCATTGGCCATGGTCTCGTCCGGTGATAAGGATAGTGAAATTCTTCTGGAAATTAGGGATTCGTTAGCAAATCATTCGTCTCTTAGCAATTGGAATGCTTCCACTAGTCCATGCAACGGGGACAAGGCGAACTGGATCGGCGTGATTTGCTCTAGGGGTAAAATATGGGGTTTGCAGTTTGAGAACATGGGCTTACAAGGGGATGTGAATGTTGAAATCCTCGAAGCATTGCCTACGTTGCGCACTCTAAGCCTTATGAACAATGATTTTGAAGGTGCAATGTTTGACGTGAGGAAACTGGGTGCATTGAAGGCTTTGTATCTGTCGAATAATCGTTTTACCGGAGAGATACCTGATGATGCGTTCAAAGGGATGAGATGGTTGAAGAAAGTGGTGCTGGCTAATAATGATTTCACTGGTAAAATTCCATCCTCGATAACCATGTTGCCCAGGCTTTTGATGCTGAGACTGGAAGGGAATCAATTTGGTGGTCGGATACCTGATTTTAAGCAGAGTCCAAAGGTGGCTAGCTTTGCAAACAATCGATTGGAAGGTCCCATCCCCGCAAGCTTAAGCCATTTGGGTGCAACCATGTTCTCAGGTACTATCAACCATTCATTTACGTTTACTCAACAATATCCATATATCTCTGCTGCCATAAGCATTTCTGGCATGCCATGTTCATAACCATGAAACCATGAAAACTAAGTAGAATGAGATTTGAATTTCTAACCTCTACAACATATATAGAGATATCAATCCCGTATTGTGCAAATTCTTCTTTCAACGGTTACTGATGACAATACTTGCCACGTTTAATATGATGCAGGCAACAAGAATTTATGTGGGAAACCATTACAAGAATGCAGGTGGAGTGGTCCAATGGAGAGTCCCATTTTCACTTCCACCCCGGACCCGGAAGACAAGGCACCACCACATGCCTTCACACTAGCGCTAATTCTGACATGTCTAGTACTAGTACTGCTCATCATCCCAGCACTCGTATTAATATATCTGTCTAGAAGGACCCAAAATCCTCAAGCATCACAGGGGACAAATGCTGTCGAGTCAAAGGGAAAAAAGGCGGTGAGGAGTCTTGAGCATGGGAAACTCACTTTCTTGAAAGATACGTCCCAAAGGTTTGATCTGCAAGATTTGTTAAGAGCCTCGGCCGAGGTTCTTGGGAGTGGGAATTTTGCAGCTTCGTACAAGGTGGTGATGCACGATGGACCCGTGGCGGTGAAGAGGCATAAGCAAATGAACAATGAGGGGAAGGAAGTTTTTGATGAGCACATGAGGAGGTTAGGGAGGTTGAACCATCAAAACTTGTTGCCTCTGGCCGCCTATCACTACATGAAAGATGAAAAATTGTTGGTCTCTAACTACATGCAAAATGGCAGCTTGGCTACTCACCTTCATGGTAATTTTTTTCAATGCCTCTTAATTATTCTTTTAAATGCCACATAATTTTCTAGGTTAGATTATGATTTTGGTTCTCTTATTATATTCAAATTTTAAATTTAATATTTATGCTCTAATTTGAATACAGTAAAGGGACCAAAACAATATTTTGACCAAAAATTTCCAGCAGCTAACTCAACTCCTTGGTTTTGTCCAGGCAACAATAAACCTAGTCTTGATTGGGAAAGTCGAGTGAAGATCATAAAAGGCGTGGCAAGGGGCTTGAGTTACCTATACAAAGAGCTCCCAACCCTAATGCTACCCCATGGCAATTTGAAATCTTCCAACGTGCTTCTCGACGACATCTTTAACCCATTGTTATGTGATTACGGATTAGCACCGATGGTCAACCAAGAGCAAATCCACTTGTTCATGGCAGCTTACAAATCACCCGAGTTTTCTCTTAAAGGTCGCATAAGCAAGAAAACCGATGTGTGGTGCTTTGGGATATTGATATTGGAGCTCGTAACGGGTAAGTTCCCAGAGAACTATCTAAACCCTAACTACGATACTCAAACGAGTTTAGTCACTTGGGTCACCGACATGGTTATGGAGAAGAAGATGGATCAAGTGTTTGATAAAGGGATCAAGGGAACCAAGGACAAAAGGATTGGATTGATCAACCTTTTGAACATCGGACTGAGTTGTTGTCATGAGGATTTGAGTGTTCGACCCGAGTTAAAGCAAGTGGTGCAAGAAATTGAACAACTGGATGATCATCATGATTTCCCTTCATCCATACCTGAACTGAATTTCGAAATGTCACAATTGTCTCCATAAATCATGACTTAACGGTGCAATAAAATTTTCAACACTTTCAAATTTACTTTAAAATCTTAAGAATTTATTTCAGATTTGTTTTCACTTATCGATTTGAGATTAAAATTACATGTGTGATGATTATACAAGAATAAAACTAATCATTAGTTAATCTAGCGAGATTATATATTAGATTTATTAATAAAATGTTAAGAGTTTAAATTATGATATTGTGAATAGAAAATTGTAGACCGATAGGATTGTCTCTTACAATAAATTTCTACAAGACTTAATTCGAATTAGTCGATTAAAAAAAGATAATATGTTGTACGTAAATTCTGTTCTAAATGATAAAAATTGAGGACAGAAAAAAATTTACAATAGAAGTTTTTAACAGCAAAATAACATATTATAAAACAAAGACCGGTCATGTTATTTGGTTTTGTGACAGTTTTCTTAATTTATTTATTTTGTATAAATCTAGGGTGTGACAGTTTTGTTAATTGTCAAATGGTTGTTATCCCTGAGTTTGAATGTCTTCCCAGGATTAATATTGGTAATGCAGGGGATACTCCCACCTGTGTAACCCTGATTTGTGCACTGTGTATATAATTAACAAAGGAAACCATCTTCTTCTCCACTTGTCCATCAAATTAAGAAACAAAATTCTTTCTGGTATGCTTGTTTAATTACCCCCCATGTCAATTAGCTTTGCCGTAACAAAATTATTTTCTGATTTTTTTTCATCCACAAACAATTAGGATGAGGTTGAAGCTGAAATGAAGAGATTGAGACAAGAACTTGAGCAAACAATGGATTTGTACAGTAATGCATGTAGAGAAGCCTTGACAGCAAAACAACAGGTACTTGGGTGCTTCTATTTGTCTTTAACTATTTACATCCGACACCCGTGCCCCCAAGTAACCTAGTCTAGAACTCGGAGTTTGTGAATATTTCAAATTTGTACACAAAAGTTCACTGAAATATTTAAGTTAGGCAATGGATATGAATCGATACAAGTACAAAGAAGAAGAAAGACAAGCTGAGGAAGCAGCAATGTCTGCGGTAGAAGCAACCAAAGCGGCAGAGAGACTTGCGGTATCACAAAAATCTCCTAGTTTTGAAGGGGAGACTATAAGAGAAGCAATGGGAATGAAGAAAATGCTTGAGGCTTTATCCAATATCGAAGATATACAATAGAGGAAATCGAACAAGCGACCGACAACTTTGCTCCATCTCGAAAGATCGGAGAAGGGGGTTATGGACCTGTTTGCAAGTGTTATCTTGATCATACACAGGTTGCAGTCAAGATTTTACGTCCAGATGCTGCTCAAGGGAGATTACAGTTTCTGCAAGAGGTAAGCAGCAACTAATATGTAGTTTATATACTACAACGTTTGTCACCATGCATACAATGCGAAGCATTTTTAGCAACATGTTTATGTTTGATTTGTTGCGCAAGCTCCAAGTACTGAGCCGCATACGCCATCCAAACATGGTGCTTCTTCTAGGTGCCTGCCTAGGTACGACATTCTAGTCTACAAATACATGAGAAATGGAAGCTTAGAAGATTGCATATTTCGGAAAGGGAATACTCCGGCACTGTCTTGGCAAATTCGATTCAGAACACAGACCTGCTTTTTCTCCATTCAGACAAAGCCGGAGATTTTGCATGGCGACCTCAAGCCTGCCAACAGATCACAACTAAGCAAGATTGGTGATGTGCCCAACTTAGGCGTAAAGACAGATAGGATCTTGGCAAACAAATCTACCATTGCTTTCTAAACTCACCGATATGGCTGACCTGAGGAGAAAATTTTCTTTGCAGGCAGTCCTGTATCCTCCCCAGGTCACTTCCCATATCCATCTATTTTCTCCTCTCTTTTTCAAATATTCTGTTTTATTTTACGTTTACAAATGATCCATCTCTTTTCTCTCTTTTCTTATAGAGTGAATGAGGTTGCAAATTCTGGCAGCCCAAGTAGCCAAGATAAAGGAATAAAATGATTGGGTTAAATTTCTGCCTGCCTAATTCTTTTTTACTATAGAAAACCGATGTAAATATGTTGGTAATTGTGCATGTAACACCAATGTAATTTAACTGCATAATTTTGTTGATTTCTCTGTTTTCATGTTTCAATAAAAAAAATAGTATTATTTTGCTTAAGATTATGACCTTTTGCAGATTGAATGGCAGCACAGTTCTGAACGACACCAACTCTAATTTTTAAGTATTCATGTTCGATGCCTGTATTATTTCGTGCACGATCCATATAAGAACACCACTTCAAAATTCTTCCTACATTTATTTAAAAAAAAAAGAATTAAACCATTCGACATTTATATGTGATAATATACTGTTATACCAAAATTATTTAAATGAATAATTCAAAATTCATTAGTTATTTATTTTAATGAAATTTGTAGTCGTAAAGTCGTTTCAATGAAGAGAAAAGAGTATCTAGTTTTGACAAGAGATGAAGATATATTAAGCTAATTTGGCCTTTCAAGCAATTATACGATTGTATGATTCGGATGCGTTGTTATTTACTTCTCCATGCACGAATTGTACATCCCATGATAAACCTACAAATTTGAAACGTGGATTCATGAAAAAAAAAAGAAACAGTTATATGATGATGAAAAACATACTGTAACATCCCAAAATACGGGTTAGTGACCAAAAGTGTAAAATTTCAGAATATGGTGATTAAAGTATAATAGTTTAATAGTTTAATGATTTGTTCGGAAATATTTCCTAAAAGTTTATAGTAATTATCAAAAGAATTAAAGGGCAAAATGGTCATTAGACTTGAAAAATTATAATTAAATGATATATATAAATATGGATAAGGATGGGAGATTTTCCAGAAAAATCTCTTCTCTCTTTTCTTCTTCATTTTCTCTTCTCCACGTGTGAAGCCAAGCAAAGGTGAGTTTTCTCTTGAGCTGATTATGTGCTGAAATTTAAGTTTAGTTTTGATTATTAGATGCTAAGTAAGGTTAAGGAAGGATTAATTTGCTTTAAAACAACAAAATGAAGAGTTTATGAGGATTTAAAGATTTGAAGTTTTTGAATGAAATATCGAAATAAAGTTTATATTGAGAATTGGAAGTTGAATTTGACTTGTCATCAAGTCAATTAAGGGATAGGAAGTGTTAGAATAGGAATTTGAACATGTTGCAAAACTAGTATAATTTTTGCAATTACATAGGAATGACTAGATTTGAAGTTAAAGAAGTGATTAGGGAATAAGAATAAGTTTAAGTATGTGTATTAAAGTTAGGAGTATTAAAGGAAGTGAAATAGGAAGGTTTGAGCTGAAATAAGGTGATTTTCGAGCTCAAAATGAGATTTCTGGGCTAGGGGAATCGGTACCCATTCAAGGGGAATCGATTCCCCCTCAAACGAGTAAGAATTCCAGAATGCTAGAGGGGAATCGATACCCCCAGGGGGGGAACCGATTCCCCCATAATGAAAAAAAAAGAAGAAAGAAGAGAGACTAAACTATTAATCCCTTAAATTGGTAGGATATTAGAGGTTAATTTCAAGACTTGGGCATCTGATAATCATCTTGAAAATTATGCTTATGTAGATATTGAACGTGACTTTGTTTCAAAGTAAACGAAGGGTTAGAATTGATTCAATTCAAACAAGGCTAAGGTGAGTGCATGTGCATAACATGATTATGTTAGTATATTCAGTTTTAGAACTGCGATAAGTCTAGATTTAATATCTTGATACATGATTCATTCAAGATTATTAAATATGATATGAATTCATACCATATACATTATGGGATATACTATGCAGATTGTGGTAAGTCTATGTTCCAGATTAGAGCTTATATATGAATGAGTTACGAGATATCTATATTAGGTATATGAAGTGTGTGTGCTGTGTTTGTTATGGTTTATATGTATGAATGAGCATATGTATTGACATGTTACAATATATATATATATATATATATATATATATATATATATATATTATATGAGTTGTGTAAATATGTAGATAAATGTGTTAAATATGTGAAATAGTTAAAATGATCAATATGATTTCATAAGAATATGAAATAAGAAGTATGAAAAGGACATAAGAAAGAATATGAAATATACAGAATATGAATATGAAATCATATGAGGGATGATCATATGAACATGTGATAAAGAGCTATAGAAAAAGAAAAATGTGATATGATGTATGAATATGTAATAAGGTAAAAGACAATGCCATGATATGAGTTATGAGAACTGTAAGTATAGTTGGTATGCCAAGAGTCAAAGAACTACCTATGTCTTTCGAGACATATGGACAGTATACCTATGTTCTAAGGAACATATGGATAGTTTACCTAGGTTCTTCGGGACCTCTGGATAGTTACCGAGGATCTTTATGACCTCTGGATAGTTACCGAGGATCTTTATGACCTCTGGATAGTTACCGAGGATCTTTATGACCTCTGGATAGTTACCGAGGATCTTTATGACCTCTGGATAGTTACCGAGGATCTTTATGACCTCTGGATAGTTACCGAGGATCTTTATGACCTCTGGATAGTTACCGAGGATCTTTATGACCTCTGGATAGTTACCGAGGATCTTTATGACCTCTGGATAGTTACCGAGGATCTTTATGACCTCTGGATAGGTCATTCGGAAAATTCATGGAGCTGTGGGGACAGCATACGTGTGCACAATCTCATAATACTCGTATACCTTGGGTTCTCAATAGTGTATATGGACTTAAATAAGACATAACGAGGATGTATATAGTTGTATCTTAATATGGTATTATTACGATTTGTATTGGCTCATATGTGGTATAATAAATGATGGTATGATAGTATAATTGTGTTTGGATAGTAGACGACATGTTTATATTTTAATAATTCTTTATGATGTAATTATGCCTCACTAAGTCTATGACTTAGCGTGTAAATGTTTTTACACGTAGGTTTCGAAGAGCAGGAGAATCAAGAATAGGAATTTGCAGATCAACCTATCTTTACTCAGCG